GAGGGAAATGAATCAAAATCACAGGGGGTCAGAAAGGTATTCACTCGCTTGGAGCGTAGACAAAAGGACATGGCTAGAAGTCCAGCAGATGAGAACAGGAAAAGGGTTTAAGAAAGAATAACAGAGGAAAGGAAAAGAAACACAACGCAAATAAAAAGCACACATGCACTATTGAACTGTCGGGTCTCACGAGCGCCTTCAGGTGCGCAGTTCGCTCACAAAGCACTCTAACTCTCATCTGGCATCTCAAAGGCGAGAGAGGGCTCGACGTATCGGCGGGTATTGAACAAAGGAAATCGACCGAAATTTATCTTTTCTATGATCTGATGGTGCCCGCAAGGCGAAGAATAACCAAACCAAGCACGCTGAAATGAAATGCCGGGCTAGTGTACAGACATTACAATGCAATGTCAAGGACCAGACTCACGTCTTGCACTTGTGTACCAGCGAGATCTTCTAGAACGGGGATCAGATCAAGAAGCTCATTATCATGGGCGTCAGAGAACCAGCTGCTGATGGGTATCGCGTGTTGAGGGTGGAATATATAGGACGTGGGAGAATTATCGATAATTATCGTGTCTCGGAGGTCGCGACCAACTTGAGAAAGATCCTATACAAGAATTAGAGGAGTTGAACGGGCAATGTGGAGATCACAAAAACACCGACCTTCACATAGTTGCCTTGGTGGTTGTAGCAACTGTCCCTGAAAAGCCGATGGTGGACAACATTGTGGATGTCCAGTTGATCCAACAATGGATCGCCGTACTGAGAACAGGTTAGCGTGAGGCGGTTTCAAAGATATATGTTAACAGTACTCACCTTCGAGACAGATGCGGTAAACACGACAACTTCGTACAGCTCCCCGACCCGTTTCATGAACTGGTCGACCCCAGGCCGCTTGATCACATAGATATTATGGTATTGACCCTCGATCTCCACGGGAATGGTGAAATCAGCTCGCTCAAGAACCTTAAAACTACTATGGACCAAGGTTTCATCCAAGTCAAGGACCAGGCATTTCCGGTCGCGTAAGTGAGGCTGAGGTGGGGGGAGCAGCCATTGTTGCTCCCTGTCGTGACTATCGTTTTCTGGCTGTTGCTCGGAAGGAAAGAGTGGCGGCGGCGGCGGCGGCGGTAGCTCGGCTGGTAGATCAGTTGCCTCTTCTTCGTGCGTGGAGTACTTCTCGTCCTTCGGGCCAACGCTATCAGGTACAGATGGTTTTACGGGGGACTCGTCCGTTTGGGCAGAAGAATCGTCGACTCTCTGCGGTGGCACTGAGAACGTTACACGTTCCTCAGGCTTCTGGGCAGGCTCCTCGACTTTCTCCGTTACAGTACGCGGCGGAACAGCACTGGGTTCATGTTGCGCTGCCACTGTCTCCCGTGCTTCAGACTTCTCCTTCTGCGAAGGAGGGTCGTGAGCCGATTCAGGCTGGGCCGGAGACGACACCGTGCCATCGAGCTGCGAGCTTTGATCGGGGCCACTGACGGTCTGCTCTTCGTCCACCTGCGATGGCGGCTGGTCGGATGTCACAGTCGTATTTGCTTTCTCATCTCGATAGTAGCTCGGCTCCTTGGACTCCGCAGTGCTCGAATCACCCTGGTGGGTTTCAGCCTTTTCTGGAGTAGGCTGAGTGCTTGGGACTGATGGTCGGCGAGTTGTCCTCTTCGCGGGGATGGCCGTATCGTCGGGATCAACATTGGAAGATGAGCAACAGCTCAGGAATGCAAACAGCCGGGATGAAACCCTGCTCTTCTTCTCCACCTTGGCAGGCTCTCGCAAGTCAGGATCTGTTTTATTCTCTTCCATGACCGTGCTCTCCTCATTCCTCCGTCGTGACCTCATGCTGCTCCCTTTGCTCCTGTCCCTTCGCCCCTTTAGAATACTTCTCCTCGAGCCTCGAAGTGTGTTTTCTGAGTCGTCATTGGCAGTATCCTGGGAGTTGTCTAATGTGGATTGTCTTTCCGCTTTCAAGGATGTCCGGGATGGCACGGGAAGCAGGTGCTGTTTCTTGGATACATCTGCAGAACTGGCGGCAGAGGCACCTTCGGGAATCGGAGTCGATTCTACGGGCGTCGGAGCCGTCTCGGGGGACTCTAACGAATTGGACGTAGGCGACGCATCGGTACCGGTGACGTGAACCTGAGGCGACGATTCAGGAACTGAGAAATTATGTTAGCGATGACATGCGCAAGGCGACCAGGACGCGAAAGAAGCAAGGCTTACTAGAGCCGGGTTGACTCGTTGCGACAGGCATGGACGCTTCTCCCGTGCGGGTGTCAGAATTCGATGGTAGAGAATCCCGCTCCGAGCTCCCTCCGAGCATTGAGGGTAGCAGAGCGAGGTTCACTCGAACAACAAGAAACTAGGATCGAAAAGTCTGAAACTAACAAGAGGCGAATGATACCAGAACACACGCCTAGGGACCACCAGGATGCCGCCGAGATGGGGAGGGGGGGATGGGCGGAGACAGAAGGGAGTGCGGAAATCAGCCTCCTGGAGCAGGACTGAAAGCGGTGGTAAGGCGTGGAGGCAGGTCGTAGCAGTAAAGTAGTAGCGCTTTTTAGCTCTGTGTCTGACTGTCTCTCGGGGACCCGTATCACCGCCTTAATTGAGGCTAGTGCACAGCACTAAGGCCCGTCGCAAAAGAATCCACCCTCCAAGAACCTCAAGAGTCGATCAACTTTGCGAATAAACAGATCACATGCGACCGTGGTGCTGGACTAGAAATGATCGTAGGAACGGGGGGAAAATCGACCGTGAAAGGGAGAGGAGTTTGGGGAAGTCACGTGGCGGGTCAGGGTGCAGTTCCTCGAAATTGGTCGGTAATTATTTATACCTTCTTGATTCAGAGGGGGAGAGGGGGTGCTGTTTGGTTACTGGCCGATGAGGGAGCTGAGGCCAACTTGTTAAGGTAGAACAAGTTAGTAAAAGGTTAAGGACACTAAAGGAAAATGCCAAAAAAATAAAATAAATAAAATGAAAAAAAAGGAAACCGAACTCTAAAGGATTCCCTAGGAATAACCCGATCGGCGATAGTAGATAATTCTCACGGGTTTGTTCGCTTAATAATTGAGGGACAGAAAAGATAACTGGCAAGTTCCTTTTCTTTTCTTTTTTTTTTTTTTCCTGTTGAACTTGATTGTTTCTTTTCGCCTAATAGTGTTGGAAGGTAGTCCCGGGTGGATGTGAGTCTCAGAGGGTTAAAAGAGACCCAAGGTACTTGACTTGATTACTGGGAGTTCAGCACAGAACGAGGATATTGGAGGGTGGCTTGTCCCTAGTGCCTTGACAGTAACTGGCTAAGCCGGGTTAAGAGGGGGGGGGCCAGAAAGGGGAGAAAGAAAGACCGATGGGGGGAAAGAATGAGAACGAGATGGGGGTTGGTGGAAAGCAAAGCGCTAAACAATCCCAGAGTACTAACTACTATTAGTAGTAGTAGTAATAGTAATCATATTACAATTTCGCTTCTCCAGATGGGTTTTAGTACTCTGTACGGAGTAGTGGTGGTGTTAAAATAATACTTTTCATTATTATTGTTGTTATTATTACAATTTATTATTGCTCCTTGGAGGTAAAAAGGGAAAAGAGAACACAAAAAGTCAGGTTAGTCTCTCGGTCTGGACCAAGGATGCAGGGCTGCAGAATTGGGGCCGTCGAACCAGCAGCACCGGCACTAACAAGCACTGCGCCCGCTTTGACTGGTGGCTCCCAAAGCAAGTTTTGGAAGCTACTGAACCTCCGCGAACTTGATATTAAATGCAACCTGACGGAGAGATACATCAGGTACTTTCGTAAGTCTAGTATAATGTCATAACTTCTCCGGTAATTGTTAATACATAAATGATCGTCACGATTCAAGGAGGAAATTCCAATGCTGGACGAGATGAATGAATGCATGGGTGTATGTATGTACTCCGTATGTATATGTAATATGTATGCATGCCCTAATATTATTACACTAGCCGGTGCTGCATATTAGCTGGTCTGATAAAAGATAAGTGAGCTACTACTACCACCTTAGACCCAGGGAGCTTGCATCAGCTTGCATCCACTCCTATTATTGCTCGCCAAATCCTGTCTTTTCTCCCGTTATTCACCAATAAGAGAATCTCAACCCTGTCGTTCATCAGGGAAATGAGCTGTCGAGGTCTCCCAATCTGCCAGATTGTCAATTCTTTACATCTGCCCTGCTGGATACTCCACAATCCATGAACATGCGGACAGACAAGATAGACATCCCTCCATCGGAGGTGGACATTTTATTCGCATTGTACTCCGTACCTGAGTGGGTATTGGTATGGGCGGGCGGGGGCAACAACCAGGGGTGACAATTCGACGTTGGCTCTAGATTGGCTCGTTTTTACTGTGATGGCTCCATTTGAGCGCTTAACAAGGGGAAATCTGGGAAATTGTTATTCGTCCGTAGAAATAAAGATCTTAATAATACCAGTATTCTTTTAAATTATTTTTTTACACTTCGCTTTTTCTTTTTTCGTTTTTTTCTTTTCTTTTTCTTTTCTTTTTCTTTTTTTCTTTTTGACTATTCTATGGCGTGCTAAACTCGACTAAATTTCAGTAGAGCTACGTATGTACAGTACAGTAGTAATGTTAAGGTCAAGACATGGTTTGTTTAAGTAATACCACTGCCACCCTCCTTCCTTACACCCTCACACCCTCCAACTACACCCTGTACCATTCCTCATGATCAGATCAACCGCAAAGATCTTCAACTATTACCCTGATTCAACCCTCCATCTCAGTTATTTGAATATCACTTCCCGGCCAGGTGACAACTCTCATTCTGAACCCCGTGGGTCACATCTGGTACGAAAAGCCAAATAGTTTACAGTTATCATGGAGATCGTTACCAATTCGGTGATATGGGATCTTAAATTAACTTCCCCCTTCTAAGATCCCAAGCCCAGCACCTCCACTCTTGAGGTGTGCAGGTCCTAGGATAACCCGGCAATCATCCTATTTGTCTTCGTCTTACCTGAAGGACTATGTGTTCCGCAAATTTGCGCCTTGAGCTAATAGTGTTATATGCAGTCTGCTCCTCGTGCGATTTCTCATTGGATCAAACTTACATCCGTCCCATTAAGGTACCCAACCTAAGGATTGCGAAGTGACTTCAGGGACCAACGCTGTCGAAGTACCATACTGTACGGAGTACGAAGCCCGGAGCCCTGAACTCCACTTAACTTTCCCGGTTGATAGCCTTGTATTTCCCAGAGCTCCAGTATCAGTGCTACATTTTTCACCTGAGCTCGCACCACTAGCCTAATCACCCAACGGTAGGTGCAAGCCTGACGGAGTAACTGTCGCGTCAAGGTCTCCGTAGCTAATTAGAGATGCCCATCTCAGTCTCGGCGCTACCTCGTATCTCCCCTATAGGCATACTCAATTCACTAAAATTGGCGTTACTGTTTCCTTTTCACTCTAAGGGGTTAAGAATCTATAGAACGCCTTAAATAGCGCTACTACTCAATGAAGACCGTCTCAGATATTCTTGAATCAATGAATCTACCTCTAATGGCTATTGAGCATCGCAGTAATGGGTAGCAGGGTCTAGTTCAGCAGACCAAACGATAGCGACTATCGTAAGTGGTATACATTCTGCCGGTTCGTTGATATTCATATGGATACTTTTCACGGCTCTTTATACATAACATAGTAGGTTCCGTTATCCCATTACCCGTCGCCGAAGGCAGAGCCAGCATCCATAATCAATCCATCCAGACGGATTTCTCCGTACATTCCATAGGGTGGAAGGCATGCGGGGAGATGTGGGATGATCCGTTGACAGGGAACGTCACAACCTGAGGCATTCGATATACCCTACATGTGTTAAGCGCTTACTTCGGAAAAATATTAAGATCTTGGCGATAATAGATATCTCTTCAGTCTCGATTTCTGATATCTAGTGTTGTTTCCAATTTATAGTCTCTGTCTTATAGTCCGACCGTGTATAATACCTTCATTTTTGGATAGTGGTACGGAAGTACCCCTTGATGTCTGTGTTCATTGACTGCGACTTGAAAAAGTACTCCCTGTTAATTCAAGAAGAAGCTGCACAGCTCATCTAGACTATAAATGCTGCCGCTATTGCTAGGTATCTGGTGTCTGTATCAACTACTCTTTCAGCCACTTGGTATGTTATCACGAAGGGCAATTAAAGCACGAAAATTGTAGATATCGTGATAGGGCCCATCTATGATTTGAGCCTTATTCGCCTATTGTACCGTCTGCCAAGTAGATACACTGAGGGGTAACCGTTACTATTTTTACACGACAGGGGTTGCCATTCGGTACTTGAATAGCACCAAGCATCTAGTACTGCACGGATAAAGAACCCGGCGCTTACGCGGACGTAAGGCTACATAGACAGCGATCAATCCTATAAATCCTAGATTGGATATCGGTTGAATACCGGCAAATTACGTCGTCTGCTTTCTACAGGCTGTTCTCCGATACATAAGTTCTAAGTCAGGTTCCCAGATAGAATAGATGTTATCTTCTAGGATCTTGAGATAGCTCTCTAGAGTAGCTATGCTGTTGGAAGTGAAGACCACGCACTACTATATTAATATCAGAGCAAGAACTACTTCAAAAACACTACACCACCCAATTCATAGTAGATAAGCCTTTGAACTTGCTGTTTAGAATAGTATACTTTTTCTTTTTCCCCACTTCTCGTCGGTTGATTCAGTCTACAGCACTATTTCTGACACTCCGTTTCTTAATTCAACCGACCATTTGTCTGACCAGATGATCTTATGTCACTGCTCAATACTTTAGTCCCAGTTATTTCGGGGCGTTTTCTGTTCGGCTGTATGCTACCTATATGGTTGACATAGAAATTGCAAGTATTTCCCCAATTTTGGCTATAGAGGCCCCTGGACGGTATAGACCACATACAAAATCCCTAGGATAGGAACTTAAATTGGATTTCTTTATCCTATTTGGGTTTATCACCGCTAGAGGCGTTCTAGGAGCTATTTGACAAAGAAATAGAAAGTAGATAGGGGGAAAGAACAAAACGCATGGTCGCGGGTGACGCGTTATATATGGAGGCTTTTGGTGGGGTCTAAATTTTCTCGCCTTGACTGCTGCGTGGTATAGAAGACATTCGGAACCACTTAGGAGTTCAACATTTCATATGTCAATCAAATCGCCATTAGAAATGTTTTATCTCTTCATGAATCTTTCCTATACCCCCAATTGGCAATGACGTTGTTGTGTGGTGGCGCTTGGAATCTCCGCCGCAGGAACGGCGGGAATTAGGGGCCCACCCACTAGAGCTTGACTGCTAAAGCCTGTCATGGATAGGAATGCCACAACGTGGTCAATTTAGAGACGCAAATGTGAAATCGCTTAATGAGTGTCAATGTTATTTCCTACAGCACAAGCAGTGTGCGGACTTGATAGGTGCATGCCTACAGGACTGTTTGCCGACCACGCAACTGGTGATTGAGCTATATAATACTATCAAGTTCTCCCTGTCAAGCCCTGAGGTTTGCATCCGAAGCGAACAATGTTTTAGGTAATAATCATGGTTCGTGGTATTGCTCTGG